TTGGAAATTCAGCGAAATTGAGTTTTTCGTGTCGAACGATCATTGATATATCAATAAGAACTTGAATTTTCATTGGACCGTAAAATTGGCATTTCACGTGAATTTATCGCTGTTTTAAATTTCAAGATTTTTATCAAACTTTTATTTGCGCGTTTTTATCAATAGAAATGTCCAAAAAATCAATCGAAATCGATTGTCTACAACTTTCTATTAATATATTTCCTACAGAAATTTTTCGGCTCAAAATTTCCAAGTTTTTTTGAATGATTTGTTCAATAAAAAACCTCAGACAATGCATGTCGAACAACTCCTACAGAAACTGTCTCAATAGAAAAAATTGTATATAAAGATAAAATTCTACGGATTTCAAAAAAAAAGTGCAGTGAGAAACTAATAAAATTGATAAAATTTCAGAAACTAACAAAAATTCCAAACAGAAGTTCAATAGAAATCCAATAGAATTTTCCAGCGAATTCACCAATTTTTCCCATGAAATTGTTTCACGTGTGAAATGTAAAGACTAATTTTCTACCACAACAGTACATTTGAGAAAAAATTGAAAAAATTTTGAGCGCTTGAGATTTTTGATAAACATTCTTAAAAGATGTGTATAAGAGACAGCCCCCTAACAACCCATAAAATAATGTAGAAGACAAAAAAAAATTCATTGAAAAATTCATTGAAAAATTCATTGAAGTTATTGTCTGAATTTTCAACATTTTCAAGGTTTTTCAGATAATTACTTGAATATTCAAGAAATTAACTGATTTCTCAATGAAGAATTCTACAGAAATTTCATGTAACTTTATCGCTGTTAAAAATTTCAAGTTTTTTCACTTGAAATGTCAAGTGTAATTTTCTAACAGTGTAGTAGCGTATTGGTCCAGGCCAGTCATTCCCAGGTGGTGCAGGTCCATCTCCAAATATTACAATTAAATTTAGAATTAGAACATTTAGAATTATTCCGAATTATTTGACGTAGGAAAATGTCACATTTGAAAAAATTGATGGACATGAACCACCTGGGAACGACTGGCCTGGAGAAATACGCTCCGAAAAAAATTAATGCCTCTCCTAAGAAAATGATTCCTTGGCACAAGTAAATTTTTTTCTCAGTGTAAACGATTTTTTCATACGTGGTGTAGCGCTAGCGCGCGAATTTATTCTAAAAATTTTTCCCCGTGCACCGCCAGAACGTCAATTTCAACGTAAAAAAATGGACCGCCGCAAGGCGGTCCCCCAAGCCCACTAATTTTATAAATACCCCAGGGCAAATGAATCATAATCCTCAAGATCAAATATTTGAAACAGCATTTGCCACCTGGGTGGCGCGTTAAACCACCTCACGGCTGAATAATATTTGTGCTCATAGGCCAAACTCATCGAGTACAAACGACCCAACGATTATTATTCATCGGAATGGTATCCAACTGCCTTTCGTGTAGTCTCAAGTGATTATTGCTCGTCTAGGAGGGGCATTGATGGGTTTGTTAAGCCGGTGTGTTTCCCTCTCTCGGTGTTAACACTCGTACCGCAGGCCAATGGTTAAAGTGGTCAAGTTCAAATCTCGGGTTCAGTCGGCCAACGGCTGTGATACCGTAATAATCCCCGGGCTTTTCGCATCAATCAGTCTCCCATTTAATCCCTCAACAGTCCGCAATTGATCACGAGTGACCAATTAATTTCGCTCCACTCGGGTGATCGATAAATTTGTGAATTCATTCGTCAGGAAAATTTTTCAAGGGTTTCAAAGGATTTGAATTTTTCGTAATCTGAGGCAACAGCTGCTCTCAGGTAAGAATGAATTAGCCAGTGCATTGACAATTGTTATTCACATCATAAGCAACTTACACTCACCAGCAGATAACATGCATTATCGCACTAGTGAGTGGGTGACCGATGAAAAACAACACGAAAGTACTTCATTGTTTCCCGCAGGCCGACGCATGCAATTATTCAAACACGATAAATGCTGGTCTATCAATGGTGGAACTTATATATTTATGATAACGCTCAATCGTACTTATCGGGGACGTTAAAAAATAATCGAGAGGCTTTCTGGCCTTGAGGGTGACATTGACCCGTTTCCATTTTTAAACAATGTCCTCAGTGGTCTTCCTTACTAGGTCTACTCTCGTTTTTTCTTTTTTTGTTTCGGTGAGCCATTGGGTAACCCAATTAGTGGCATTCCAGCTCCCTTCCTCAATTCATGGGACTAATCGGGTTTTCGAAAGTTGTTGAGATTCAAACGAATGACCCAGTTGAATTCGAATGAGCGAAACTCGGTCGATAAAGGAGGAAATCTCGGGGGGCGGCGGCTGGTTTGAACGGCACGTGGAAAGAATTGTGTGGGTGACGGAGGACACAATTCAATGGGAATACCTAGCGATTTCGCTAGCCAATTCTATTGTAATGTTCGATAGAAAATATTTTGTAGAAAAAGTCAAAAGAATTCGATTTTTCCGTGCAACTTATTGTATGGAGTTATTTTCTATTGAATTTCTCCGGCTGAAATTTTCTTGATTTTGTTTGATTTTGTTGATGAGAAGAAAAGAAAAATAGCATGAAAAACTTGAAAATCTGAGAAAATTTGAGCTGAGGAAATTCTGTAGGAAATATCTGAAGAAAATAAGTTGTATAGAAAAATCGAATTCTATTGACTGTTTCTATTGAATATTTTTTATTGAACATTTCAGTAGAATCGACCAAAGACTAATAGGAAATGCAATAAAAATCCACTAGAATTTTCTAACGAATTCGCTAGGTTTTTCTATTAATTTTTTTGTGCGTAGATACGTGTGATGTTACGAAATTCTGGGAGATTATTGGGTCAGTCATTAATTCTAACTTGCGACTCATGATTAATCAATTTTTTCTAGGAATTTCGTCACTGAAATTTCACAATTCGGTGGGGAAGTCTATGGAACTAATTAGTAAATCAGTTTTCAAGGAATATTTCCGAATCTGAGGAGAATAGCGAAATTTTTGTAATAACCTTTTTTGTAGAGCGACTTGAGGGCGACCGAAAAGGTCATAACAAAAATTTCGCTATCTCCCTTAGACTCCGAGATATTCATTGAAAACCGTTTTACCGCTGCGCTACTGATATCTGAACATCTAATATTAATGGTAATTAAATCACAAACGACAATACCATTCGATCACAATTAATATCAGATGACTAAACATCATACCGTCATCAATAGTAATTAAATGACGATTATTTAACTATTAATTCAGTAGCGAAGTGGCAAAACGGAACAAGTCAATTTCGACTAATGATCCGTTTTCAATGAGTATCTCCGAATCTAAGGGAGATAGCAAATTTTTTATTATAACCTTTTTTGTAGAGCCGATTAAGACCTACAACAAATGTCATTGCGAAAATTTCGCTATCTCCCTCAGATTCCGAAATATTCCTCAAGAACTCAACTGAGAGATGAGTCGACTTGAACCGTTTTACCACTTCGCTACTGAATTAATCATCAACACGACTTAGAACTGATGATCCGCCGAAAAATCCCCAAAATTCCCTAACACTACCCAAATCTACCATCAATCGCCCCTCCGGATTATCCTGACATCGTCGCAGCCGTCAATTTCACTTCGCAATCACGCAAAAATATAATTAGTTAATTACAGGAGGTGATAAACACCGTTGATGTTTCACTCGAGTTTATGACCGCAACTGTTACACAATGGCAAAACACGTATCTACGACTTATGCAATGCCCTTACGGTTCAATTTCCTTGGTTATTCCTAGTAAACAATGAAGTGAAAAAAGGATTGGGTGCAGATCACCTGCGTGTGGGTGATACCCCCCCGCCGCCAAGTGGGTTTGAAGGTCTCAGAATTCAATCAGTTTCATTAGAAACACTAGCTGCTGTACTTAAATTTAAATATAGAATGTGCAGCGCACACCCCGGCAGCTGTTTCAGGGTGATAGGATGACGAACACGATAGGAGAAATAATAGTCACGTAATTAATACGCTTCCGGTAGTGTGGTTTGTTCTCGTGAGATACGCGTGCAGTTTCTCGTCGCTTTTTGCTTCCGCGTGCAAGCTTTGTAGCCGTTCAAATTTAAGTTTCTGATTTTTGCTTCCGAAGGGAAGCATTATTTTTACATCGATCCTCTATGACCAAAAAAACATTTTTTTTTTCAAATGTAGATGTTGTCGAGACTTATCAATCGCCGTTAATTAATTAATATTATAATAGAATTGTAATAATATTGTAACAGAATTATATTAATATTATAATAAATTTCATGTCCTGCTGAGAACAGGAAAAATTCTCAGAATGGTTGAAAGTTTCGTTTTTGAATTTAAATTTAGATTGAAAACTAGAATTTTTTTTCTTTGTGAACTTGGTTAGACAATTTTTGGGTGAATTATCATCGAAAGGTACTGAATACTACGTTCTTGCAATAATTCATCTTAACATTATCAAAAATTTTATCATTGAGTTGTCTAGTAATTATAATTAATTACTAGAAAAAAATGGTTTTCGTGTGCAATTTAGGATTAATTGTGAGGAAGGAAAAATAATGAATTTGAATGATCCGCTGAAAATTCATCGCTAATGAATCTTTTTTTTCAAATTTAGGTATCGTTGAGCCCTAGAATCGACCGCCATTAATTAAAATTTAATTCATATATAATTTGTTTTTATTTTCGATTTTTTTTCACGATCACTAAAAAACATGTCCTGATTTGATTGAATGATGGCTTAAAAAATATGTTTGGACGAAGGCGATAGCAGTAATCGCTACTTTGATTCATTTGAAAATTTGCAAAAATTTTGTATTTTTTGAAAATCAGAATTCCGGAGATATCTTTGAGCTTTCTGACGGTTTCTTCAAATGTGATATTTCAAATTCATTCAAGTACGTATAAATAAAATTTTTCTATTAACATTTTATCGAAGGGCTGAGGGGAGAGATAAAACCATAAAAAAACAATCGGTTGTATAGAAGAAAGGGATAAGAAGAATAATGATGATGATAACATTCAACTAAGTTGAAAATCTGACGAAATTACTTGAAAAGAAATCTTGAAATTGAAATTCAATAGAATGAAATAAACAGTGAATTATACATGATAGAAGGCAATGACGTGCAAAATAACCATTCGGAAGCACATTGCTAATTTATTAGCAAAAAAACTGTACTATATGCAACACAAGAGCAATTTCCCTTCCTTTTCTCTCTGTCATGCACGGTATTTCATTTACAACTGTTCAAACTTGTCGGTGGCTCCATATTTATCGAATTTCTTGGATTATTGTCATTGGGATGAGCCCCCAGCAAACTGTACAAACACCTCCTCCACTTGGGGACAGCATCAGAATAGCCACTTCAGAGTTAAAAAGAGCAGTGAGAAAATGATAATTTACAACATTCTATTCAAACATCTTTTTCAACAACTTTCAATGGCCAGATAGCGTTGAATTTACTACGTTGACGCGTGTGCCAAGCGTCCCCACAAGGCCGTTTGGTGAAAAAGGACTGGAGGAGGTTCAATGCAGCCGGTGATATTTTTTAGTCGATTTTTCTGGGCTACTATTTTGCTGAATGATAAATCTCGATCACCGCCGAGCACTGTTTACTCTTCGGTCATGTTTTTTGGATGCATCGGAAGAGGTTTAATGATGCGTCGTTGCATCTGAAGAAGCTTGATGATGCATCGTTGCATCGGGAATTGAACAGCTGGGTTTTATGGATAGCAGTTGTTGGGGGAAGTGCGGTCACTTGTGTTTCGAGTGCAGAGCAAGATTAATTTTATTAGCTTTTAGATATTGGGCGGAGGGGATTTTTTGGTTCAAGGATCTCGACGGGAATATTTACACATTATTGTCATTCGCGGGAGTTTACAAAAAATTAGAAGAAAGGAATTTGAATAATTTGAGTTTCTTTGAATTTATTGGATCACTATTTCAGGAATTGAAAAAAATGTTGTCATCAATGACTGTAATAATTAGTAACGAATGTGGTAAAGTAGATACTTTTCAAGCTACATCCACACTCACCTTATTTTATTGTTATTATTTATTTATTTATATTTATTATTTATTTATGCATATATAGCCGATTAGGCTCTTTACATACGCTCTCATAATTATCACAGTAGTCATAATAGTTTGACTCACTTTATTTTATTTATCACTATTGGTAAATTGTGTTGCAAGTGGAGGGCAAGATTCATTTTATTGAGATAGACGAATGTCTATTTGTTTCAAGGATTTCGATAGGCATATTTACATATCGTTGAGTTTTTCGTGGCACTTCGCAAAAAATTTGAGGAAAGAAATTTGAATAAATCGAGAGTTTATTTGAATTTATTGGATGGCAATTTCAGGAATGGATTGGATGACCAATGGATGTAGTAATTATTTATGAACGCGGTAACACAAATACTTTTAAACTACGTCCACACTCGCTTTAGTTTGTTTATCACGATTGGTCACTTGTGCTTCAAGTGCAGGACAAGATTAATTTTATTTGCATTCGTTTATTTGCGAATAGAACTAGTTATTTCAAGGATCGATAGAAATATTTACATATCATTCTGTTATTCGTAAGATTTTACAAAAAAAATATTTATTATTCCACAAAAAATTGGAGGAAAGAAATTTGAATAATTCAAGAGTTTATTTAAATTTATTGGATCACTATTTCAGGAATTTGTAAAATATTTTGACCAATGGATTTAATAATTATTAATGAACGCGGTAAAAAAAATACTTTTTAAGCTTCATCCACACTCGCTTTATTTTATTTATCACTATTGGTCACTTGTGCAGGGAAAGATTAATTTTATTTGCATTTGTTTATTTGCGAATAGAACTAGTTATTTCAAGGATCGATAGAAATATTTACATCTCATTCTGTTATTCGTAAGATTTTGCAAAAAAAATATTTATTATTCCACAAAAAATTGGAGGAAAGAAATTTGAATAATTCAAGAGTTTATTTAAATTTATTGGATCACTATTTCAGGAATTTGTAAAATATTTTGACCAATGGATTTAATAATTATTAATGAACGTGGTAAAATAGATACTTTTTACCTATATCCACACTCGCTTTATTTTGTTTATCATTATTAGTCATTTGTGCTTCAAGTGCAGGGCAAGAGTAATTTTATTTACATTCATCTATTTGTTTCAAGGATTTCAATAGGAAACAGAGGAACGAAACTTGAATATAATTTCAGAGTTCATTCAATCAATTATCGAAGCATACCTGTTTTAAAAAATTCAAAACATTGTGACCGAAGGCTGTAATAATTATTAATAAAACCCGATAACACAGATAGCATGTCAAGTGCATTCAGGCTCGCTCCGTTTTATTTGTTTTGCATTCTGTAGGTGCACGAGAGCGCAAGACACCTCGCGTAACTGTATTGTTGTTTACATTGTCAAAGACTCCTGCAAGAATCGTCCAAAACCCGCATAAATTATATCACCAGCGCGAAGCTCGCAAAAGACAGATGATGATGACCAAGGATGCGGCAAAATGGAGTGTCGCCAATGTCCAATAACTCGAGATCGTCGGAGTGAAGTTCGACGAATCTCGTCAACATCTTTCCTCAATTTTTGCAAGCAAATCTAAATCATTCTCATCGCGTCGTTCGGCCGCACGATGACAATAATTAAATTAAATCTTAATTTTCCGTAATCGGTATCTCACGGGAACATGTGCCGTAATTAGTATTTATGGAAATCAGCCGACGTCAGAGGTGACTGTAATTGAAACTGTTACTCGCACATTCCGGGATCGAAATTGCTGCTCTAGCCACTCCCCATAATCATTCCTAACAATGTCTCCAAACGGATGTAAACATTACTGACATTTCTTACTTCAAGTGCTTATGGTAAAGATTAAATTGATATATTAATGTGAAAAAAATTGCGAATAACTTTACTTGAAATTTTTATATTCATTTCAACACAATTTTTTTCGTTGGAAATGAATAAACTCATATATTTATTTTAATTCAAATGCTTCAATTATGCTGAATGAATAGTTTACTATTTACCGATCCAAATAAAGAAATAAATATTGAAAAATCATTCTCTTCACTATTAAAAAATTTTGACTGAAATTTCAAGGAGTTTCGTAATTGAAAATTCAAAATATGATGGAAAAATTGATGGAAATTGTAAATTCAGCTCAAGTATTTCACGAAATTGGTAGAAATCAGACAAATTCATGCGAAGATATTCTCAAATTTTCAATTGGATTTTCAATTGAAAGTTTTTCCGCTACTCTTTAAAGGTTCTCCCATAAAAAAAATATATAATATGGGCCAATTCCATATATTCTTCCAATTTATAAAGAATATACAAAAAAATATATAAAACATATTTTATATGTTTTTTTTATTTAAATTGGGCCAATTTAAGATATTTTTTAATCTATTTTTCAAAATATAAATTTTTTCGTGTGGGTCAAATAACGTAGTAGAACTAAAAAAATTCCCTGAAAGAGCTTTTATTCGAACTTCGGACTGAAAGAATCGCTTGTTTCATTGGCTTGTCGCTTGGCTGGATAGATCAAGGAACTGCTTCAATAAACCGATTCATTCAATCCCAATAAAGTATGCTCAATCCATACAGACCAACAATCTGAAGAGGACCGCGATGGGTCATACGTCAGGGACATGGAACCTTCATCACTTTTAAATCACAACTAAACATGATTTTTCCCCTCGAAAATGATGCCCCCAAATCCGAAAAGAGGAAGAACATTTAACTAAACTTATCCGACGAAAAAAAAAAGATGACGAGCTCAAGTGGCCCTTCGCTTGACGAGATAATGACATCCCACAATTCCAGTGCACCACAAATAAGCCTTCATAAAAGGCCAGAAAATACATTCACATGTACCAGGGAATTGATACATGAAACGTCGGGTAGATTATGCTCAAGTATCTTGTCTCTGGTTACCCAGGGGCACCATCATTCAATCGAAACTTTCTTGTTTCTTCGGTCTCCCTCTGACGCACATTGTGACGTCAATCGGAGAGGAGGCAAGAAGTTGCAAGAGCGGCTCTTTACCGATACGGCTTTTTCGAAAAAGCCACGGGGCATATCGCCTCGCCCGCTCACTCGGCGTACGAATGGATAAGATTCCATTCGATGGTCATAATCTCGCGATAATTCCCCCGAATAAAATATTTATTGACCCAGCAACGGACAATTTCCTCATTAATTTAATCAATTCAGTAGCGAAGTGGTAAAACGCTTCAAGTCGACTCATCTCCCAGTTGAGTTTTTGAGGAATACTTCCGAATTTGAGGGAGATAGCGAAATTTTCGTAATTACATTTGTTGCAGCTCCCAATCTGCTCTACAAAAAAGGTTATAATAAAAAATTTGCTATCTCCGTTAGATTCCGAGATATTCGTTGCAAACTGGTCAGTAGTCGAAATTGACTTGTACCGTTCTACCACTTCGCGTACTGAATTTATCGCGCAATTTATCACGCATGGAAAATTTTTTATTGGATTTCTACGGAACTTTCTACTAGTTTTGGGTCGATTCTATCGAAGAATTCTGCAACTTGGCAAATGTTCTACAGGAGAAATCAATAGAATTTGTGTTTCTACACAACTTTATTCTGATGAGATATTTTTTTAAAAGTAATTCCTCGGCTTTGATGTTATAAGTTTCTTCGTTTGATTTTTCAAATGCAAAAAGATGAAGAATTGAGTGAAAATACTTCGAAAAATTGAGAGAGAAAATTTGGAAAAGAGAGGCATATCGCCTCTGCCGCTCACTGGCATACTCATGGATAACATTCCATTCGATGATTAAAATCTTACGATTATTCCCCCGAATAAAATATTTATTGACCCAGCAGTAAACAATTCTCTCATTAATTTAATCAGCATTTTATCACGCGCGGAAAAATTCCTATTCGTTTTCTATGGAACTTTTTACTAGTTTTTGGTTGATTACATTGAGAAATTCTGCAACTTATCTGCGCATTTTTTTCGATAGAAATATTCAATGAAACCATTTCTACAAACTTGAAACAAACTAAAAAAATATACGTATTACGGAAACAACGCAGAAGCGCTTTTTTATTGGAGAAGCATGATTTGTTCTAAAAAAATCGTGAAAAATCTTTTAAAAAACGTGAATTTTTATCAATTCTTTGATAAACAATTCCATTTGTTTAAAACAATGGGCACTTTGCGGTTCTTTTCTAATCGCAGAGACTAGGCATTATAACAATTTGCAAAAAATTCAGCGTATTCGCAATTTATTAAAAAAAAACTATTATTATATTTTACTGAAAAGAATTATTATTAATTTTTCAGTTTCAGTTTTATTCGGATTTTATGAATACGGTGAATTTCTTGTCATGACATTGAAAGACCTGGGAACAATCGTAATAAAAACCCATTGGACTCCGACTACATCATCAAAACTATTCCAAAGAACTAATGACCCTACGTAAACACTTAGTTTAATGCCCTCGAGCGACGGCCCATTGTGATGAAATTATGGTTTTACATTTTTCCTACCATTCGGCCGGGCTACGCTGTACTTCTGGATATTTTCAGTTTTTTAATTTTCCAACCAAATTGCTGGGAAAAAATTTGAAAAAATTCATACCCAGTCAGTACTATCTAAATTAAATTTCGCAAAATACTGATATTCTCTCAAACATTTCCCTCTTATAAATGAATAATAAAACTTGTTTGCAAAACGGTAGATTATTTTTTATGAGGTGTCAAAAAAATTCTTGATTTTTTCCCATCTAATGAAAAAAAATCAGATTTTAATCTTTGATTACAATGGAAATGTTGATTTTCCCATAAGACACTGGGTTAAATCCTGATTTTGAAACATTTCTTCTTTGAAAAACCAAAACGATAATTAAATTGACAAAAAAATGAGAATTCCGAATCTAACAATTTTCTGCAATTTTTTGCAGTTTTCAATAATCTCTGAATTTACCATAAAGCTACTTTAAATTATCATGAAACCTCAATCGACTCCACATCGCCACAATGGAAAGCTCCATTCGCCACACTTCCCTGTGAATCGCGAGCAATTCCCCTCAATTTTTCCCATTTCTATTCCTTTCAGGAAGCAGATAAGTCAATCGAGAGCACCGCCAACAAAGTGAAACAGAGCAAGGAGACGGGTGTTTATTCACACAACCTGACCGAGTTAAACTCGTGGTTTACATCCCCCACCATCTGGTCATTTACCCAAGCGCCAGTCCTCGAGGCTCAGAGTGTCGCGGGGCCTCCACGAGCGTGCCAGACTTGGCGTCGTCATCGGGTCAAGCGATACAAGCCCATTGCCCAAATTTTTCTGAATCGAGTGCAGCTCACGTGGACTTTCGCGTTGTTTTTTTAATCGCGCTGGGGGGGGGAGCGAGTGAATGGCGTGAAGGTTAGTGCATTCAGGTTGGGCAGGTCCCTGTGGCTGTGCGCATGGTTGTGTAGGTCCGGGCGGCAATTGGAGGGGCCGAGGGGGTGGGCAAATTGTCCCGGCGACGCTCCTTTGAGAGGAGCGCGAGGCAATGGCTGCCACCGGCTGCAGAGTCTCTTGTAATCGTGGGGATTGTGGTGGTGATAATGTGTCTCGGAATTGTTCGGAAACGAGGGAGAGATCGAGGTAGTGAGAGGATTGTGGTCGGAACAGTGCAAGTGGTATGAGGGAGTGACAGTTGTCGATTCTTTCGGTGTTTTATTCGTGGGACACAGGGCTTTCTGGTTAATTGGACTGAGGGGAGATGCTCGAGGTGTTATTGTGATTGATATGAAGGCGAAGGGGACTGGTAAGAACCACATTGATGGCGATGTGGAGTCGATTGAGGCCAATGAGAGGTATGACGAGTTCAATACTGTGATGGTGCCTGTGTCGAGGAGCCTCAGTAGGAGTCCGCAGAGCGATGAGGGCATTGAGGCTGACGCCGAGGCCAGGAGGAACAATGTTGGCAGATGCTGGAGTATTGACTCGTCAAATGGCGAGGAGGAGCTCGGGAAGGGCACTCTGTGGCAGAGGAGACAGTCGAAAATCAGGGTCACCAGGTGCTGCAGCTCTGACAGCGCTGTCTTGAGTGACGATGATCAGATTAAAGGTGAGGGCGACTGGGGAAGGGGATTTTTGGGAGAACGCAAAAGTTCAGGGGGTTTTTAGTTTTTGTTGGTAGGGGTTGGGCTTCGGTGAGGGGGTTAAGGCTATTTGAATTCAGTTGGGTGTTAGAAAGTTGAGGATAGTCAAATCTTTAGTTTGGTACTGACTGCACTAGAGATTCAATCATTTTCAATCATCAAATTTGTCGATTTAATAATGTAAGAGAAATTTGGAAATTCGTGAATATTCAGCGTCATTCAAGTTAGATTTTGCATGGAATTATTGTTTTTTAAAACAGCCGTTGCTTAGCAATAAATAATTGAAATTATACTATGAAATTCAGAATGTGCATTTAGGGGAGGGTAGGGTAAAATGGACACTTTAGACTTTTTTAAAATTATTCATAACTCAGAAACAAATGTGTCAATAGAGCTCAGTTTAGGCTCATCACAAAGGGAAAGAATTATTCTTTGTATTGAAAAAAAAAATGATTAAATTTCATCAACATTTCAACCCGTCACTAATATTTTTAAAAAACGTCAAAAGTGTCTCAACAGATGATTTTCCTGGTGGAAAATTGATTGCTTATAAATTATTTATAAAAAAAGCTCGTAATTTGGAAGAATTGCAATTTTTGAATTATTTCGTCAATCTTCCGCCCACAGCTTAACGGTTCAATATCGAGGTTCAAATTCAGACCTGTAAAGTTTAAAGAATAAAATAATTGTAAAGTGTCCAGAAACTTGGGGTCCAATGGAGCTCAAGTGAAAGCTCTGATGTTCGTTCGTTTACAAAAGTAGAAGAGGACTGGAAAAGAAATAGCCGAAGTGCTGTATATTTTTAATAGACAAAATGGCGAATTCGATAGAAAATTCTGTGGCATTGAATTAGATTTAGGGGGAAAACAATCAGTAAAGTTAAAGTTTCACTGAAAACTCAACGAAATCCCTAATTTTTTAGCAGCAGGAAAACGAAAAATTCCGCAGCTTACTTGAATTTTCCTTATTTCTAATCATTTTTTTTGAATAATTGCACTAAAATTTAGTTTTCACTGATTTTTCTATAACATATTGTATTTTTAATGACGAAATTCCTTGAAAATTCTCAAAAAAGTTTCGAGAATTTGAATTTCAGTTCTACTTTATCATTCTTAAAAAAACAAAATTGGAAATTTAATATATTTACTTGAATTCTCTTGATTTGTATTAATTTTCCTGGAATAATTGCACTAAAATTCCCACATTCCCTTGATTTTTCCCTAAAATTTTCAATTTTCAATGAGGAAATTCCTTGAAATTCCAGTGAAACTATCACTTGCTCAAAATTTCCAAGAAGCTTAAAAGCAAAAAATTTGATTATCCCATTTCATTGAACATACCACAACTAATTTTCCTTAATTATCAGAAATGTTGTTTTTACATTCTCCCCCACTAATCTAAAAAATTACAGAATTTTCCTTGAGCATAAAAAACTAAAATCAGTCATTCATGACGTCAATTTAATTTTGTTGTGATTCATTGTTCTACTCTGTTATTTTCCACAGGATGGGATAACTTGATCATCGGTGATCGCAGCGAGTGTGACTCGACCGAGGAGAGGCCCAGGTACTGGAGAACACCCAGTGTTGTCGTTAGTGACTACTCAGACTACTCCTATCTCGATGAAAAATACGACAGGAGTGATTTTGAACTGGAGAAGTTCGAGGGAACGTCGGGCTCACCGAGTCAGGCCAGCAGTTGCTCATGCTTAGACTGCGATGATATTAGTGAATTTCAAGACTTAAATTCCCCTGTTCATAGCCACCTCCAGGTCGGTGGACAGAGGCGACATTCAGACTCTTGCTGCACATGTTTGCCCAGTTCCAGCATCAACAACAGGTGAGAACACTTTATCCCTAATTTTTTTAGATTTTCTGCTCTGAATTCCTTTTAAGTCTTTTATTTTTTCATGATTACGAGGATTTATTTGTAATAGCTTTGACGAAATGAAATAAACAATAGATTTGGTGCCCATTATCTACTTTATTCCTGAAGAATATATTTGGATTGTCATTTGAATTGTTATGATCATAAAAGAGAATTATTCATCGGTTGAAAAAAAAAAATCTTTCATGCTTGCAGTTCTAAATGAATAACTTGAATTAATTGAAATCTGTCATCTTGTGACCACGTGAATTTGAATTAATTAGAGTTTATTAAATGAAAACGAGGAGTTTAGAAATACAAATAAACAGGTCGAATTAAAAAGAATGAATAGAAACAATGAGAGTATTAGAGGGAAGCAAATAATGCATGAATTATAGAATGCAATTTCGAAAATTGGAGATTCGTCAGAATATTTTTATAGTGGCGTTAATGTCACATTGTCTATTTTATTTCTGAATAATCTACGTGAATTGGTAATTAAAATTTTCATCAAAATGAAGAAAATAACTTCATCAGTTAAAAAAAAAAAATTTTGTCATGCTTGCAGTTCTAAATAAACGCCCTGAATTAATTGAAACCTCATCTCGTTCCAATTAAATAATTAGAGTTTATTAGATAAAAAGGGGGCGTTAAAGGAAATACAAAGCCACGTGTCAAAATAAGGAAAAATAATGAATAGAAACGATAGAGTGGATTGGCAGGAAGGAGATAATAAAAAAATCATAAATGAAATGATTAAATGCAATTTGCAAATTAGAGATTCGTTACGATTTTGTTGCAGGGGTGTTAATGGTAACCCCAGTAGGAGGAACTCGTGTCTGGCAACACCAGGCCCATACTCATTGAGATCGGAATCATCAGCCCCAGGGTATCCCAAGGGTGACATCAATCCTGAAGACACTAGGACCAACGTCGAGCTCCTCGAGCTACCACCAGTGCGAAAGATATCTGATTGTTCCACGAATTCCAGTCTCAGTGGTGATGACTTCGAGGTCACCGAACTGCAGCCATTAAAGAGGCCACAGGTGAGCAAATCTTTTCCTCAAAAAATGTAAAAAAGGATCCGCGAGGTGAGCGAGCTCGCGGACATTCACCAGTCTGGTGGACACCAGTTGCCATCTTGCGGATGGCTGCGGAACAATTTTCTTTGTTAAACTCCATCGGTGATAATTATTACTTCATGCGTGTCGACGATGATCTGTTAAGGATGTTTGTCCATTTTTATAGGAATTTTCATCAACGTCAGGATGATAATTCTGTTTATTGCACTGTTGAATTTTTTTTAGTTAAAATAATTGCATTTCAATTTTTTGCTTTGTCGATTTGAAGTCAATTGAAGGATATTCAAGAGTTTTTGCAGTTTTGTTAAATTTGTCGATAAAATTGCGTGAGGAAATCTTGAAAGAGATCATGAATATTCAGGGTCATTGAAATCACATTTTGGAGAGAGTTATTATTTTTTTAAACATTCGTTGTGCATAAATAAATAATTGAAATTGTTTAGACTTTCGGAAACTTTATTCTTTAGGCATGAAATCGATTTCTGTTAAAACAAATGATTTTTATTCTTTAATTAATAGAATTGTTGTTAAATGTCCGAAAACTTGGGGGGATGTGGGGCTCAAATGAAAGCTCTGATGTTTGACTACGAAAGTAGAAATGCATTTTATTGGAGAAAACACAGCCAAAGTACTTGGATATCCTTAAGGTTGAATCATTCATAAGATTTTTTATTCGGCTTGGAAATTCAGCGAAATTGAGTTTTTCGTGTCGAACGATCATTGATATATCAATAAGAACTTGAATTTTCATTGGACCGTAAAATTGGCATTTCACGTGAATTTATCGCTGTTTTAAATTTCAAGATTTTTATCAAACTTTTATTTGCGCGTTTTTATCAATAGAAATGTCCAAAAAATCAATCGAAATCGATTGTCTACAACTTTCTATTAATATATTTCCTACAGAAATTTTTCGGCTCAAAATTTCCAAGTTTTTTTGAATGATTTGTTCAATAAAAAACCTCAGACAATGCATGTCGAACAACTCCTACAGAAACTGTCTCAATAGAAAAAATTGTATATAAAGATAAAATTCTACGGATTTCAAAAAAAAAGTGCAGTGAGAAACTAATAAAATTGATAAAATTTCAGAAACTAACAAAAATTCCAAACAGAAGTTCAATAGAAATCCAATAGAATTTTCCAGCGAATTCACCAATTTTTCCCATGAAATTGTTTCACGTGTGAAATGTAAAGACTAATTTTCTACCACAACAGTACATTTGAGAAAAAATTGAAAAAATTTTGAGCGCTTGAGATTTTTGATAAACATTCTTAAAGAACGTCCCCTCAAGATATCACCATATATGCCCCGTCCCCATTTATCTCATTCAATAACTCCATTCAGCAGTCATTACCCACTAATTATTTCCGCCACTGGAGGAGAAAAAAACGTACACGACTGGATCGTGTTAAACACTGTTCTCGCCAGTGGGCAGGGCCCAAGAGAACACAATAAATTCAATAACGTTGGGTAACTCACACATCCCGAGTATCTGAGAAATCGAAATCAATTTGTCGGTATCCGGCCAAAACTCAGTAACACGAGTCACGTTTGAGATTAGTATCAATTATTCCGATTTTTATTTTGCAACCAATGATTCAATCCCCCATAAAAAAAAGTGCCCATTGCCCCAGGGGCTTGTAGTTGAGCGCGTTGAGATGAAAATGCGAAAGCGGAAGAGGGGAGAAATTGTTAAAACGGTACATAATTATACTTTTCTCTTTTTCCCCTCGTGAAAGCGCATCGTCACTCGGCGTCAGAGACGGTGGCATCGAACGATGAGTCTCGCGTTACAATACCTAAATTTAGATCGCACGCATGTCTCGATGTTTTTTTCATTCGTAAAGTAGACAAGATGCGCAAGAGGATGTGCAATAGACTGCACTTTTCTCCGAGATAAAGGAAAATATGACGATATTCAGATCATATTCATGTCCCGATGTTTTTTTCATTCGTAAACTGGAGGAATTGCACAAGAGGATGTACGATAGACCGCACTTTTCTCCGAGATAAAGGACAATATGACCATATTCAGATCATATTCATGTCTCGATGTTTTTTCATTCGTGAAGTGGACGAATTACACAAGAGGATGTGCAATAGACTTCCTCTGGTCTAAAATAGAGATAAATATGACCAATATTTAGATCACATTTATGTCTCCATGGTTTTTTCATTCGTAAAGTAGACAAGATGCGCAAGAAGATGTGTAATAGACTGCACTTTTCTCCGAGATAAGGAGGAATATGACCAACATGTACATCACATTCACGTCTCAATGTTTTTTTCATTCGTAAAGTAGACAAAGTTCACAAGATCTGCAATAGACTGTCCTCTTCTCGGAGATAAAGGAAAATACGACCATATTCAAATCATATTCACGACTCAATGCTTTTTCAATTCGTAAAGTAGACAAATTGCACAAGAGGATGTGCAATAGACTGCCCCTGTCTCCGAGATAAAGAGAAATATGAACAATATTAAGATCACATTCATGTCTCGATGTCTTTTTAATTCATTAAATAGACAAATTGCCCAAGAGGATGTCCAATACACTGCACTTTTCTCCGAGATAAAGGAAAATACGACCATATTCAGATCATATTCACGACTCAATGCTTTTTCAATTCGTAAAGTAGACAAATTGCACAAGAGGATGTGCAATAGACTGCCCCTGTCTCCGAGATAAAGAGAAATATGAACAATATTAAGATCACATTCATGTCTCGATGTCTTTTTAATTCATTAAATAGACAAATTGCCCAAGAGGATGTCCAATACACTGCACTTTTCTCCGAGATAAAGAAAAATACGACCATATTCAAATATATTCACGACTTAATGCTTTTTCAATTCGTAAAGTAGACAAATTGCACAAGAGGATGTGCAATAGACTGCCCCTTTCTCCGAGATAAAGAGAAATATGAACAATATTGAGATCACATTCATGTCTCGATGTCTTTTTAATTCATTAAATAGACAAATTGCCCAAGAGGATATCCAATACACTGTACTTTTCTCCGAGATAAAGGAAAATACGACCATATTCAGATCATATTCACGACTCAATGCTTTTTCAATTCGTAAAGTAGACAAATTGCACAAGAGGATGTGCAATAGACTGCCCTTTTCTCCGAGATAAAGCGAAATATGAACAATATTGAGATCACATTCATGTCTCGATGTCTTTTTAATTCATTAAATAGACAAATTGCCCAAGAGGATATCCAATACACTGTACTTTTCTCCGAGATAAAGGAAATTACGACCATATTCAGATCATATTCACGACTCAATGCTTTTTCAATTCGTAAAGTAGACAAATTGCACAAGAGGATGTGCAATAGACTGCACTTTTCTCCAAGATAAAGCGAAATATGACGACTGAATAATTTTCGATGAATGAAAATTCCTGGAAGTACTCCAGCTGGCACAAGTCGAACAATAAGCCCAGAATAGCAAAGAGAAAATGAGAATATAATGATAGCAGAAGAATCGCAGTACGTGTGGTGCATGTGAAACAGCAAAATCTTGAGCAATTTTTCTTGGGTAAATGCAAGCAACGGCTTAAGGTGTTCCCAGGACATTAAGTGCATCGACAGTTGGTTCGATCTCTCAGTCAAGTCAAGTCACTCGTTGATTATACGTATACGTCTCGATTGCCACAGCGTTGTCCCTACTCCCTGGGTGAACGAAAAAAAATTTCCAGTCGAAATCCTCCTCTCGCTGAGTTATATTCCACACCCACACGTATCCCCCCAACTCCACCATGAGGTTAAAAATGCTTTTGAGATGAGAAGATAAATAAATTGCCCTGTCCAGTCGAACCCAGGTGGCCACAGTGAAAACATCAAATCCACAAATCTATCTTCAGTCTCCTTCAACAATTGGATTTGCTGAAACGGTGGTGTTGTGAAAGTTTTATTTGCAAATCATTCTGGAGGAGGAAATTGTGTAGGCGGAAGTGCGGATTTACTCCGGGGGATTTACATCACTAAACATCTGGAATACTCGCGATTCATTAATCAATTGTCATGCTGTCTCGTGCATCCCCTACCTTCTTCATCGTTAGGGTCTTTACATGAAGAATCCCTGGAGGACCTCATCATAAAGGAGATAAATCTCCTCGAGATTCTGAAATAAAAGTTGCTAGAGTCGAAGCCTCTTGATGAATGCAAAAAATCCAACTGCCGGATGCGCGCTTCGATTTAATAGCCATTACATGCCTGTACTGACCCAGGGGAGCAATATCGAATCCCACTATTTGTGGTCGAAGCTTACTTCAAACATCGTGTGCTCCTGGGAAAAACCATTGAGCCAATTTGATTTTACTGAATCAGTGATTTTGTGAAAGTTTTATTTGCAAATCACTCTGAAGGAGGAAATTGTTCAGGCGGAAGTGCACTAAACATCTGGAATACTCGCGATTCATTAACCAACTGCCATGCTGTCTCGTGCATCCCCGACCTTCTTCATCGTTAGGGTCTTAACATGAAGAATCCCTGGAGGACCTCATCATAAAGTAGATAAATCTCCTCGAGATTCTGAAATAAAAGTTGCTAGAGTCGAAGCCTCTTCATGAATGCAAAAAATCCAGCTGCCGGATGCACGATTCAATTTAATAGCCATTACATGTCTTTACTGACACAGGGGAGTAATATCGAATCCCACCAGTTGCAGTCAAAACTTACTTAAAACATCGTGTGCTCCTGGGAAAAGCCGTTGACTATCTTCAAACCAGTTACTCATTCCCCTTCCTCTCCCCCATAATCACAAATTCTGAGCACGGATGAGTCGTCTCCCCCCGTGCCGCGTAAAACGAGGAAGAATCAGCCATAGTCACGTACAGAAACGTGTTAATGCGTTGGAAATCATGAAGCCCGTCATAACTCACTGGATGTAAACAGCGTTTATTTACAAAGCACTTGTGCCACCAGTTATCACAATTTTTTTCTGCATC